GGGGGGGGGGGCGAGATGGTGTAGAGGTAGGGCAGCCAACTTGGGACCTGAAAGTCCCAGGCTCGATCCCCAGCCATTCCCACATGTCATGGTGTCTCTGAGCAAGACACCCAACCCCTAATTGCTCCCCAGGTGCCTCCATAGCTGCCCACTGCTCCATCTGGATGTGTCCCAGGTGCGATGGGTTAAATGCAGAGACTAATTTTGCCATTGTATAGGAACATACAATGATGACAACACCTTACACTTAATTTTATTATATTGCTGCTCACTTATAGTCACCTCATCAACTTAATTCCCCTGTAGTTGCTACAACTCTGTACATCAGCCTTGTTCTTAAAAATGGCCACCAGCACACTTCTTCTCCATTCCTCAGGCATTTTCTCACCCTTAAATTTGCCACTGAATATTTGAGTCAAAAACCTCACTGCCATCTCTTCAAGACATTTCCAAACCTCCACTGGTATGTCATCATGCCGTACTGCCTTCCCCTTCTTCATTCTTTTCAGAGCTTTCTGGACTTCACTCTCACTAATCTTTCCCACTTCCTGGTCCACAGTTTTTATTACCTCTACTCTTCTTTCTTTTTCATTCTCTTCATTCATTAGCTCCTCAAAGTACTCCTTCCATCTTCCCGTCACACTCTCCTCACTTGTTAGAACATTACCGTTCCTATCTTTAACAAGCCTAATTTGCTGCACATCCTTTCCAGCCTGATCCCTCTGTCTCGTCAATCGGTACAAGTCCTTCTACAACTCATCATTCACCTTCTGCTTTGTCTTAGTTACCCCCCTCTTTGCTCTACGTCCCATCTCCTTATATTCCTGTCTCCTCTCTACAGTCCTCTCACCGTCATATTTCTTATTGGCTAACCTCTTTCTTTGAAGAGCTTCCTGCGCTTCACTGTTCCACCACCAGGTTTCCTTATCATCCATTCTCTGTTCAGATGACACAGCAAGTACCTTCCTACCTGTCTGTCTAATTACGGTTGCTGTAACAGGTCAGTGTAAAACATGTCCCTGAAAATGTTCAGGAAAAGGAATGAAGCTGAAAAAACCCAGCTGCCAAAACAAATTAAAACTCTGAAAGTCCTCCAGAAAGTCTGAAGAACTGCTGATCCAGACCTGGTCGGATGGAAAATATAAAGAACAGAAGTCTGGATCAGGAGTTAAACAGGTCTGGATCAGGACTTTAATGAGTTTGATTTAAAGATGTCTAAGTTTTGCAATATTTGCATTTTCATGATAATTTTTCAGATTTTTTTCTTAAAGAAGGACTTTTAACCTCTGAGATGGCTTTGCACTTGTTCACCTGTTGAAACTCTTCCTCAGCTGGAGCGTCCATCCAGGAAGCGGCGGGACTCCTTTGGGATGCTCGACGGGCTGGAGGAGGACCGGAGCAGCTGCAGCACCGACTCCAGCGGGGGGAGCGGCGCCTCCAGCCCAGAAGACAGTGATGATGAAGAGTTTTTAGGAGGGGGTACTCAGCTCACCCCCTCCTCCTCCTCCCTGATGCTTATTAAGACCAACGGACAGGTCTACACATACCCCGATGGGAAGACCGGCATGGGTCAGTGAGATAAACAGAACCAAACAGAACATCATATTTCTGGACAAATCTAAACTACAGGAAGAAAAAACAATAACAATTAAGATTTAATATTAGTTTTTAAATGCAGGTTTGGAGTTCAAACCTTCATTTAAAAACTAATTTGTTAAGTTTGTTAGCTGTTAGCCACAGTGCTGCTAACTCAGTCCTCACGTTGTAGCTGGCTGCAAACTATGAACTGGATTTCCTGAATGTGAGGCGGGTCTTATTACTCTGGCTTCATGAGACATGCTGCTGTTCAGGAAATCTATTCTATAGTTTGAAGCCAACTTGCATCAGGGATCGGAAATATCGGCAGATGGATCGGAAAATCCGATACGTAAATTATGCTGGTATTGGAGGCCGATACCGATACTGGATCAGATTAGCCCCATCCCTAGTTTGAACACAAATGGCTAACTCATCTGTTTGATTTTTTTTTGGTTTTGGACCCGGTTTTGGTCTATTCTGGACCTTTGTTAGGGGTTTCAGTTACACAAGTTTTAGACATGGTTTTGTGATTAATTAAATTCAGTTTTTGACATCAATTTAGACTTCTTTTTATGCTGGTGTCCAGATTTTGGTTTGGACTTGTCAAAACTTGATTCTGTACTATTTAAGACCAAGTTTTGTTTCCTTTAGGCCTGATTGGACCAGGTTGTAGTGAATCCTGGTTTTACCCAGGTGTTAGATTTTGTATTTAACTAGTTTATAAACCAAGTTTTTAACAGGAGTCAGAATTACTGTTGGGTTTGGACTGTTTAGGTTCTGCTTTGGGGCTAGTTTGACCTGGTTCTGATCAGATATTAGTATTGTCTTTATATGTGGCGTTGAATTAGATTGGGACTGGTTCTGGAAACCACTCGTGTAGAATTGGAAGTTATTTAAAATTTAGAGATAATAAAAACAAAATAGATTTGATTCAGATTAGTTTTAAATACATACTTTTGCTGGTTTAAGACTGGTTTAGATGGTTTTTGGTCTGGTTTAGACTTGGTTTTTGGTCTGGTTTAGACTTGGTTTTGATCTGGTTTAGACTTGGTTTTTGGTCTGGTTTAGTTTTGGTGTTTGGTCTGATTTAGTCTTGCTTGGATTTGATCTGGTTTCGTTTTGGTTTTGGTCTGGTTTAGTCTTGGTTTTGGTTTAGTTTTGGTGTTTGG